ATAGATAGCTACTATGTTCCTGAATGCTATTAAACATCACGTTACGATTAAATGGATGCGGGTGAAATCGTTTGAGAATAGCAAGTAAGTAATATTCTAATTTTGCCGATAGGTCTTAGTTTAGAGTTTCGTAATGTTGAATGATATAATTCAGCTTTCAGATGACCATTATTTGAATCTATAAACAATATCGACCAGCTGTGACTGACTCACGAGGAATGCTAAACTCAATTGTTTTGCAATTTCGCGATTATACAGTTGATGTATTATATCATAATATCTGATCCGCGATAATTCCTAAGGACATGTAATTCATTCGAAAATATGAATAAGTGCCTAATAGTATTTTTAATTTATGTATATGTATTTGAAAGGATTTCGTGGTTTTGTTGGAAATTCTATTTTTGAAGTCGCTTGGAAATTTTAACTGTAGTATATAGTAGGTGATATTTTACAAGAAAGCAACACAAACAGAGATGATCAATTACCATAATTAATCTCTCTCTATCAAATCAATTTGCGATAGCTAATTTAATTCAGAATATTGGAACTAAAAATGTGCAATTGCAATTTTTCTACAAATCAATTTAATAATGCTACACAATCGTACGATTAACAGTAATGTCAAAAGTTTGATTCGTATATGGTTAACGATGTCAAATAGTGTTGTACATATGTATCTATTCATTTATTCTTGCAATAATTAGTGTTACAAATAAGACTTTATGGAGCATACAAGTGTATTATGTCCTACATTGCCGTTTTTGATTGCAACCTTATAGTTTCTGTGTCTCAATTAGTAAAAAATAACGACTTACGTGAATTAATCGAGGAAACCTCGTCTAGTTTCAAGACACAACGGGTACCTTATGCAGTAGCAGCGGAAATCGGTCATATGCGACCGATTTCCATATCTTATTATGAATAATAACGTTGACTAACACATACCTACTACCCAAAATTATAATTCAGTAAATTAGAGGAAATATTTATCATAATTATTAACTGTAGGTACAAGGTAAAACAATGCATTACATTCACTAATTATAATTGCCTATGTTAGATATTTATCTTGAGTTAGCAGCTAGCCTTTAAATTTAGGCTATGCTAAAATTCGTCCTTACTTTATTGTAATTACGTAGGAAAGGTTAGATACTTTTATTTTATTGACTATCGACTTTTTGCTTAGAGGCACTTCCCTAATCGGTGAACGCACTTCAACCTTGGTTCCATATTAGAATAAATCCGGCACGTGTATGGTACTGTCCTGATCTATTGCACATTGATAATTTATGTCTAGGTAAATGGTATAGATATATGACTCACGACTTACCAACTTTGCTTTAAAGATTATTTTCGTTCAGCAATTAATTTTTCAATTCTCATTGGAATTCTGCAATCAAAATTTAGCATTTTTTGTATTACAATCATGTATTTTCAATTTACTTCATAAATGGAGAAACTTCTCTGATGCACGTCATTTTATTTTTTGTTAAAAGAGGCACGTACTTGCTATATTGTAGTTTGACATTCAAAATGTATAATATTTGTTCTGCCTAGCCCTGCTTCCTGTGAGTGTCGTAAGACTACTGTGGACACCATTGTCTCCGTAGTCGAAGGATGGGCTTTATTCGAAATCCACCAACATTTTGGTAATGGTTGCTCCAATTGGTTGGGCATATACACATCTTTGACCTCGTTTCGCTATAACACAATTCCGTGTTTACTGATTTGTTACGCTTGTCAGCAAGGAATATTCGCACTTAATGCAATGTTTAATTAATTCTTAATCTTTCTAAATGTTAACAAGTCTTAATGTAAAACAAGTACAACCTAGTTACTAAAATTAATGTGTTTCATAACTGCTTAAGTTATTTCAAACAGTACCATAAAGTATGGTTTATAAATAAACGGGCAAAAGGTCTAAACATATTTCAGGTCTTTTCTAAGAAGATGTCAACACCACACTATATTATTTCCTCAAATCCGTTCACCAGCTGACATTCTGAGTGGCTTACTGACATGAAAATTGCACTTAATTTGATTTAGTGCTTTATTCCTAACATGATAACTACATAATAAGAGAACAATAGACTACGCAACAATCAGGGGTGAAGACAGTCACTTTTGTGTAATAACTCTTTCTGCTGGTAACATTATTATCTGAAGGGTAAATAACTCAAGGTTCGGTTCATCAAAATTTAACCATCATCCTCGGATTGTTTCTATTTCGACACTTCACCCAGGAAACCCTAAATTGGCATAATCCAGTCCCAAAGAATGGACGTTATAATTTGAAATTTTTTATAAAGATATTTTTCAAATAATGCTTTGATTATATCATCCAAAATGATTGCAATATAAATTAAATAAACCGCATGAGATATGATTCGACAACGAATTTGATTAATTAACTACCGTATCTTTATACTAGTACTAGCTTTAACAAACCGGTCCACGGTCGCCCCACATAATTCCACATGCTAGATATACCGTCAGCGTTCAACGCCTATGAATGACAGACCCGTCGGCTTTTGTTATTAGAAACTCGTTATCATAACCGTTATATAATCCACAATATACATACTTACAATGTACAGATATACCTACTATCTATTGTGAATGTGTGCTAGTTCTTCTTCGATTTTTAGAACAGCGAAATGTTTTGTGATGTCAGATTTAAAGAGTGACATTGAAATTATTAGTCTATGCTATTTTTATTGTGAAAAAGTGTATAGATATAATCATTATCTTAAGAAAATAAGTATTAATTTAAACTTGGGCCAATTATAGCTTGGCACAAATGAAACGCCAAAAACACATTGACATATGAATTTAAAGCTATCATAGATGGCGCTGCTGTATTTTAAAAGCTACTAGTGTTTGTTTTTTTTTGGTTTAGCAGCTGAAGCCGCTGGTGATTGTTATATACTGTGTCTGACTACTTATTTACTTGCTTCTATGTACAAGAATTGACAAACTAATTCATCACTAAAGTTGATTAAAGTTGTGTAATATTCGCAACAAAAAATGTTGAGTACTAGTTTTGATCAGTGAGAGTTGATGGTCTAGTTTCGATGTGTACGAATTTCTAGTATTAATTACATAGGATTGTATAATAACTAAATTGTTACACTTCTTTGTTTTGTTGTTTATTTATCTTATACATAATTAATTAGGATTTTACCTTAGTTACCATAATTTATTACAGACGTAGCTCGTTAGGTATGTTTATTTGGTACTTGGCTATTTATATGCTAAGGATTTCAGTTCACAATTAGATGTAGACTGATTTAGTGACTGCACAAAATTATTTCTTATTTATAGTTGACTAGCCATTTGTTTGAATGGATTAATTTGTTATTTAGGCTAAAGTTGTATGGATGTCATGACATGTCATATGACCCTGGATTGTCATTAAAACATCATGTGGTAGCAATTTGTTCTTGGTGAAATGGTGGTAAACCACCATTTAGCCTAAAGGTTATGTTACAATTGTACTTCGACATCATTGCATCATTTAATACACTTTAGGCCATTAGTCATTAGTCGAATGTCTTTAAAGTTAGCAGGTTGCAATAAAGACAAATGGATTTACTAAAGAAAATATTAGGTGCTTTATTTTTACTTCTAGATAATCAGATATCAATAAATATGTTGTTTAAAGATGCCTGTATATAAGTATGCCACATATTGCAAAATTTTGCATTAGCTACAAATAGGTACCTAACTAATAATTTTAAACATAGTAACTATCGCTTTAGCTATGACCGTTACATTAATTTTATTGAATAAAATCTTATTTTACAGTATTGAAGTATTGCTTAAGATGAACAGAATGCACAATTTCGAAATCTACGAACGTTATTTGTTAAATTGTTTTAATAAATGAAAAGCGTCCTTTTTAGACAAATATATGCTATCGTAACTTAAACTCCGTCATTCTTGTCTTGACTCGTAGATAACTTGACATTTTGGCTACCGTTAAGTCTACAATATTCATTTCGTCTAACACACGCCTATGTCTCATGTTGGTCTTATTAAAGACCAGTACTTGTAGATAGATTGCATAACAATCTATCTACAAGTACTGGCCTCAATTCCAGAATCTTCCCAATCAAGATACATATGAATATACAATCTAAGGTAATAAGTACTTACGAGTAAGTAATAGGACGAAAGTTATAGCTATAAGTACGAATAGCACTTATCTATTTAGTTTAGTGCAAGCCATCTCTACGGAAGCGTCCTTGAACTAAAAGAAAAAGTCGGTCAACTGCCACGCTAGGTCATTATCAAGTATTTGTTTTTGACATGCACGTTTAACCACGATCAGCTTTAAGTCATGCAAATAAAAGACACTTTAGATTTGTAATAGACGTGTAACTAAACGTTAATGTTTTAGTTTATTTACTAATCATGTTTAATAGTTAAAGAAAAGTCAGGCAACGGGTTACAGGTCAGTGCGTTGGTTGAAAAACCGGACAAGTTTGTGTCGGGGTCAGAAAAAAGTTCCGCTCTGTGAACAAGAGAGATTTTGTGTATTCTGAATTCAAATTGTGAGTTGTTTATTATTTTTGGAAGAATATTGTTTTACTTATGATAATATAGACGGTTATTATAGATAAGTTGTTAACTTGTTAGTAAATTGACCTACTCATCGTTTATATTTGCAATCCTCCAAAAAGGTATATCTCTACTCAATGTCAATGTTGATGTTTTTGCGCTATTGCGGCGGCGGTGCAGTGTAATATTTTTTGTCTTATTGTGTTTGACTCCTAAATTCTTGATGTTACGTGACTCGAATTAAATAAAGTAGGAAGTCCTAAACTTGTATTATTTATACTTGATTGAATTTGTTACGTATTGGTTAATTTGGAAATAATTCTAGCCAAATTGTACGTGATTACTCTAAACTAGCCGCACTGTGGTGTAGTTCAAGGTCATCCATTCTTTTGTAGAAAAAAATTTTAGACTCATAATGACAACTATTGTTTCAGATTTACAACAATGAGGAGCCACATCGTACTCCTGCTGGCTTACGTAGCCACCGCCAGTGCCTCTCTAGAAATAGTCAACCAATGGAGCTTCATGCAGTTTGACTTTCCCCCTGATCCAGTGCTCTTGGAGAAGTTCCAACCTGAGAACACCGTTCCGACGGGACTTGAGATCGGCTGGGATAGGATCTACTTGGGAATACCTCGATTGAGGGCAGGAGTGCCAGCAACTTTGGCTTGGATACCACGCAGCTTGCCCCCAGGCGTCAGTCCTGTTCTTCAGGTGAGAACAAGAACAACTTTCTTTTATTGCGCCATTTACATACATTACGCACGCATGGCTCTTATTGAGTCTTTATTGAATTGATTCATATTCTACAACAAATTACGTTCAAAATGGTAGAAATGGTTTTATAAATTGAATTGATTTCAACCTCGACGGTTACAATTGTATTCATGACATATCACGCCGTTGGCTCTCAGTTCGCCTCGAGATTCGAGAGGCCGGTGAACATGCCAACAATTACTTAAAGACTAAATACTTACGTAAAACTAAAACATTTATCGAGGGATTGTACGTAACATGGTTTGTGAAACCAACCAGTGTCATCAATCTTGATTACGTCATAATATATGATCGAGACAACTTGTGCTGGTTGAGCTTCGCAGATAATTGTTAATTGAAAATCGATTGGCTACTTGAATTTATCTGGATTCCGTTTAGATTGTGTCGAATTAATATCAGAGCAAAATGGACTAAAGTGACTAAGTATCTGTCAAGTTTATTTGATATTAGTTTAATACGTTTAATTTAATTTTGAAAACTTGAAGCCGTATCAATACGACTTGAGATATTAAGTGCATTTGTTGAGACTTTTTAATGCGTCTTTATTATCGACGAAAATGTTGTCACCAGATATGACCGAAAAAAGCGTATGAAGACATACTTAGTGAATATTTGGCTAGAATTGTGTAGGTATAACTTGCTAGTATGCATTATAATATGATTTTATGAGAACAAGCTATGAATAAAGTAACTAGATCATTGTTGTAAAGCTGTTTCAACATAAATTTTGTTGAGCATAATACCTGTGTTTGCCTAGTTTAATGCTAAGCGCCTTTACATGATTTTATAGAGCCAGTCGTGCTTTATGAGCAATCAACTAGATTGTTACGTCTTTTAAAGTTATTTTATTGCCGTTGTTATGATCGTCGTCTATTATAATTTTCATTTTAGATTGAGTTTCATATCGTTTATGTGCAAAACCATTGTTCCAGTAGAATGTAAAATGTACTTAGAACCCTTCATCTTCAGAAATGTCCAAGTAAGTGGACTAATAGAAAAAATATATTTCAAAAGTTTATTTTCCTCGTAAATAAACTGAGGATAAAAATTATCATAGGTACATACACACATCAATTAAGTTTAGGTTTTAACCAATAAAATTCTTACAGTCTATAAAATCTGGTAGAAAAATTTATTGCTCTATCTCAACTGTAATTATAAGTATTAAATTGCTCTGGTTAACGTTAATGCGCTGTACGAATTAAGTTTATCTTTGAGTCACGTATAGATACATGTTGTTCATTGCTTGAGAACTTGGCATTAAGTTGTCCACACTGAATGTCAAGCTCTTATTTGTAAGTAGGGACTACAGATTACACATTAATTTATTAGCCAATACTCACTTCTATTGGAATCTGTCACACATAAAATGGATAGAAATTATATAGGTAACAGATAGAAGTTATAGGTACTATAACTATGCTTATGTATTTGATAGAACCACTTATAGTTTAGAAAGCTACAGCTGTTTACTCCTTAACCGGACTTATTTTGGGTGGAAATAATTTAGGTACTCATATATACTTACATTCTGGAATAATACGTAGGATGGACACATTTCGGATTGTACAATCTTTTAGAAAATTCTTGTGTTTTTAATGGAAGCTCTTCTCTTCTTCTTTCGCCCTAGTAGTTAATCTTGAAAAGAAAGAGCTTTAGATATTACAAAAATACTATTCATAATTTTATAATTTGATACACATTCCAATGCTATCTATGCCTCAGTTATATCTAGTTATAAAAAGAAACTTATCCGATCATATTCCGTTTGAAATAATTCTAAGGAAACATAGGTACCACAGTATTCGGATTTCAAGTTGCGCAATTATTTTCTAGATATAGTCTGTGTCGCCTTCGAAAGCTGAGTTTGTGTAAAGACATTGAATAGGACCTAAGTACTGACTGACCTACTTGTTGTACCTTAGTTTACAAGAGGAATTTTAGTTTTAGAAAGTATTCTAAGCTATGTCACGTTTTATTTGGTACCTTAATGAATTAAAGCCAATGTTTGCTGATAAATTATAGGCCAAAAATAAAAATCTATAAAAATACACCAGTTTATTAGGCTTAGGCTAAAATTTCTGAGCAAAAAAAAGCAAGTTCTTATGACTTCTCCCGCCCAGGGTCAGGCGAAGGGAATGTCAGACTCTTACTGACTAAAAACACCCCCCTTCTTCTGCTGCTCTATGTCGAGGCCGTGGTGCCTTATGGTGCTATATATACATAAACACACTACACTGGCAAAACACAAGATATATGAGTCTGTATTTGTGGTTTTATGATGAGTGTGAACTATGAAACTTCACATAATTTTTGGTAATAAATTATGACAGGTAATTAAACAGAAAGTCAACTTTAAAAACAACTAACAAAGATATTAAACTTCGTCTAGATTGCATTTCAAAACTGAAATTGGTTCAGATCCAAATTTCTGATGCAATTGTATGAAGGTGTTCAAGTCAATCAAATATGCATGTCTGCAGCTCTTTATTATTATGCAATATTTACTTAGAATCAATACTCTATATATGGTTCTTTGTAAATCAATATGGTTCTTTGTAAACTTTGTAAATTCTTGCTTCGACTTTGTGTAGTTACAAGTTTGCGAACAAAATATCACATTAATTGTAGCGCTTTGTTGCGCAAACCACAGACATTATCTAGATGTTAATAAACTAGATTAGAACAATTATGTCTTTTAATGTCAGCTTTATTGTTATAGATATAAAGACTAGATTATCTTTTTAGAGCTTGAGGTGTCAGTTATCTTGCCAGTATAATTTTTTAATGCGGATAGTTGGATATGTTAATAAGGTGTTATTATAAATGTACTGGTCAAGATTAACAACTCTATTTGTCATTCAGGTTTAGTATAAAGACTGTCAGTATATTCCTTGATACTTTCCCTTAAATACTATATGGATGTGTATAGTAAGATGTTGTTTAGGATAGGAGGTCGTTATCAGAATTTGAATATTTCTAGAATTATCTGGAACCATCTCTTTTTGTATTTATTTATCTTCTCTTTACATACAACAGTTTTTTCAATCGTCTAGTTTGCTGTGGTGCAAGCATTCCTTTATAGTAATTCAACATATTTCCAACGTCAATCATATTCACATAGAAACTACATTATCGACAAATATTTCCCTTTTAGTATTCAAGTTGGATACCGTAATGTACGAAACAGTAATGTTTTTCTGAGACCTTGTATGACTTGATGCTGGAATGTGACGGAAGCTAAAGAAGTATGTATGACATACTTTTTAGGGCAGATTTTTCAATAGTAAGATAAACGTTATCTGAGAAATAAAATTGTTGCTGTCACTGTCTTTTCCAAATATTCTGTCGCGACAGAATAATAATTATTCCGCAGATAACTTTTATCTAACCATTAAAAAATCAGCCCTTAGAGAAATAATATCCCATGGAACACGAATTATACTGCACCATTGACGTGGTGGACGGCTGCCGTACAACGTGCCACAGGTTTGATTCCCGCAAGAACAAATTTTTGTGTGATCCACAAATTATTGTTCTGAGTATGGGTGTGATGACATACACATCATACCCATACTCGGAATATGTTTGTAAACGCACCTACGACACAGGAGAAAATCCTAGTATGGAGCAATATTTTTTATTATCAAAATCAAAATCAAATCAAGAAGGGTATGGTTTTACCTATGTATGTACCTGATATCGGGAAGAAAAACTATGGTATTTTTATTTTTTCCTGTACCACTAGAATTGAAGGAGCAAGTAACGCTTAGAAGGTAATCCGTATCCATTTCTAAACTGGCGAAGCGTATAAGGCGAACATGTTAAACCGAGTGATTATAATATTGTTCCGCGTCGGAATTAGATAACGTATTGGTGTTAATACTTGTTACAAATACGCGTTACCTATGCGTAAGGCTTACTTCGAAAGCGTGAAGGGCATTCGTTTGCAGTGTTGGCCTTGACGGACTGCTGTGGTCTGTCACTTAGATGTGCCGTATTTATACTTCGCACAAACATACTTTGTTCTTTTGTTTTTTTCATACTTTTGGTTGTATCGTAATTACAAAATCTTATCTTACTAATATTATAAATGCGAAAGTTACGATGATGTTTGGATGTTTGTTACTCAATCACGCTAAAAGGCTGGACGGATCTGGATGAAATTTGGCACAGGTTATGAAACACTCCGGTATAGGACATAAGCAAGTTTTTATCAACATACCAGACGGGCGAAGCTGAGGGCGCAAGCTAGCACATTATAAAGTCTTTCCACAATAGGTTCAGTTTAATATTGTCTTCTGACGATATTAAATGAGGACTAAAAAATCTGTTCGAATAATTCGCAACAAATGTTTTGTAAGAAGATTTTACAAATAAATCGACCAAAGGTATTTGAGCCGGCCTGGAGTATGAGAAGGAACGGACTGGTTTTTAATTAATAAGAGTCTGATACTCCTCTCGCTACACGCAGAGCGGGAGCGTAGTTTCATAATTTTCATAACTCAAGAAAAAGGGTCTTATGGGTATCTAATTCTATCAATTTAACTTTCTCATTTAGCCTATAAAGTTAGATAGAAAAGTGTGAATATAAATAGACTAGCTACTCTTGCGCGGTGTCACCCGGCTCTATTTGATCGTAGCGTGATGTCTTATAGCCTATAGCGCTCAGGAATATTGTAGCTATCTATCACTGAAAGAATTTAATTGATATTTAAATACACGAGTAAGATACATTGATATATGCGAACTTAGACCATAGGTATACACTACAAATTTTGGAAATCCGACCAGCGGTTCCAAAGATTACCCCCTACATACAAACTTACAAACCTACAAATTTTACCTCTTTATAATATTAGTATTGATAATAAATGCATAGTCTTAATAGTTATCAATTTAATGACGGCAACTTATAGAATTCTTATAGCAAAGAGGCGCAAAGTATAACTTTTGCAATTCGTGAAAGATTAAACAAAAGACATTGATTGTTGTTGTTTCGAATTTGTTCCTTCCAAGTGTATTTTATCTATGTTGAATACCTAAATAAATATCTAAGTTGGCTGAATTTAATTCAGAAGACGTTATGAATGTTTCCTGTTTTGAATATAGATTCAAGAGAAAGTCTAGAATTTCTTATTTACCTTTACATAAAAGATGGACGAGCCTATTGAATTTAAGCACAATCTTAGATTACCAATGCGACAAGAAGTTATGTAATTAGATGACGATATTATATGGGAACTAATAAACCTGTCGAATTAATTGTCATTTAACAAATTTATTTTCATAAAGGATAGGAAAATGTCATGTAAGAGATACACACACTAAAATTTTAGTTCTTGTATTTACAATAAAATGTAAGATATGTTAGGTTTTGAATTTGATGTTTAAAAATAAATTTGTATGTAGGCGCGTATTTAATACTTATAACTTAGACATCATGTTAATCGTTTATGTAAGAGCTATTTCTGCACGGGTTTACCCGCTGCTCTGCTCCTATTGGTCATAGCGTATCTACTGTTTAATACCTTTCTCGATGAATTGACTATCTAAAACAAAAATAATTGTTCAATTCTAACCAGTAGTTTCGGAGATTAGCGCCTTCAAGAAAACGAAAAACTTTTTTTTTTGTTTTTTTTTTTTTTATTAATACCAAATATTTCTCTTACTTCATAACGAACCTATGGCTACTTAACCAGCCAATTGCATTGGTTTTATACTTAATTTTAAGTTTAAAATTGTAATTTTTAAATTGTATTCTATGCACTCTACATAAGTGATTTACATCAATGTAAATTCACGTTGCAATGACAATAATATTATTCATCCTTTGTTCGTTTTCTTATTGGTATGCGTGTCGAAAAAATATTGTGTCAATAAATGAGATGTTTCCCATTCAACCGTATGTTTTATGGTCAACATAATATGCTATGAATGCTGAATAGGTAACTGGGTAGGCACGAAAATATCTTTTTATTTGTTTATTTCTTTATTGTTTGATAGTAAAATGACTAAGATTGCATTTGCATTTGGGGTTTCTACATTCGATTGTTTGTTTTAATTATTCTTAGTATTAATAATTTCACTGAGTATTACACCAATTATAACAATACATCAGGTATGCATTACAGATACTAAAACTCTTTTTGGGCGAGGGGCGAGATGAATTTGATGTTAGCCTCTTACTGACTGGATCGCTTGCACCTGTAAACCTGGATATTGGACATTGATAACCTGGCATTACAAATATAACCAGTGAAAAGCCATACTTAATCATATAAAGTTAAATATTCAACAATAAAAATAATAGAATTAAATTTGAATTTGGAAATCCACATTAAAATTGGTAGCTACTCAATGCCATCAGCGTATATATATAGCTTTGTATGAAGGTTTGCAAATATTGAAATGTGATAAATTATTGCTGTGACCAGAAAATAATTGACAATAATATCGTTAAGTTTTTAGTGTAGCCTATGTATACTTATGTTTGAGACTCTAATTTATCGCTATATCAATTTTCATCAAAATTTATCAAAATCAAAACTTTTGCGTTTATAATATTAGCAGGATTAACTATTACTGACTCTAATTTAGGTATCACTATAGTATGATTGACTAATAAAAAAAAATTTTTACTTTTTTCTTTCACAGGCCTACCCTGATTGGTCATGGCACACGGCTGGTCGAGGCGACATCAACTGCACAGGTCTGATCTCCGTGTACCGCGTGCGAGCTGATAGATGCAACCGACTCTGGGTCTTAGATGCTGGAGTAGTGACCAGTATCGATGACTTCAGAAGAGTCTGTCCTCCCAAGATCCTGATCTTCGATATGGCAACCGACCGATTGGTGAGTTGAGATAGTTAAATTAATTCAAAGATTTTTTTTTTTTTTGTTAGGTTGTTCTTTGATAATTCGGAATAGGGAAAAATGTTCTAAGAAAAAGAATTAACTTTTTTCTAAATAGAATCTCCAGCATTGTTTTTTTAGTATATTGTGTATGTGCTCTGTCCGAATTTCGTTTCATAACACGTACATATATTAGAGCAAGAACAACAGATAGCTTAATTTGAATAAATAAGACAAACGTGCGTTGCATTGATATAGTACGATTAATTACCTTACTATTCTAATCCAGCCCACGTTTTTGAACTTTCTAGAAAATTTCGTCAAATTTAGAAAAATTGCCCTACTTAGGATTCTCACCGCAGTGCTCGAAAAGAGTCATTTGCTTAAATAATTGCTTAGCATTTTTTCTTCAAAACAAAATTCATTTAATGTAGGTATGTGAGAACGGCAGTTTACTCAATTTTACATTTCTGAGTTAAAAGTTTTGGTTATGAATACTGCAATCATGCCATACGTAAGTTATGCCTTATTTTCTGGTTTTTTTCTAGAATGAGGCTTTCTTATGGCGTATTTTGCAAGGCGATAAAAATACGGAAACTACAAGACGTAGAACCTGTCAATTTCTTCTCGACTTGTGTGGTCTTGTATTACATAGTTACGCAAAGATGATGCCGAGTAACTAAGTATTTAATTAGGTAATTGGTTTTTTGTAGGCGACTCGTTACTAGCATACATGACCAGTATTACTGTTCCGTGTTCTTGAATGGTATTAATGTTACTGATTATTAATTAATTTTATGCGTTCAGCTATAAATAATCATTGAGCAGGAAATAAGGCTCGATTAGTAAAATCTCTTAGCTTTTCGCGTGACATGAGTTAATTTATCACACATACAGACATGCATCTCATTTTTGAGATGATAATCTGTAATTAAAACATTCTCCGAAATTTCAAAATGAAAAATTGTTTTATCAAACTATGTCGTGCGTGGTCAATGCTTGTGTAAAGTAATAATGACAATCAATCAAACCTGTTAAGGATTACTGTCAATCTAGCTAGATTGAGAAAAGGTCAGGTGTAAGTGCTAAAGAAACCATTACGATAAAAGTTCCGTGTAAAATGAGTCAGATGTCCAGACAATAATAACCTCTATAACGAATACAGCAGGATATACGTTTGCTTAATGTTAATGAGGAATGTGATCATTGACGATAGGTCAAGGAAATTACATTTCGTTGTGTCCTATGGACATCTGTTCCGTGAGTGCCGGAACTTGTTTAAAGCACGGACTGCCTAAGGAATAGTGTTGGGCTCGGAGATATAAGTAGGAAGCGTTTAATAGAGCAAATCGATTTTATCTGTTACCAAACGTTTATAAGACAATAGAAAGGGCTGACGGTTTTTCTAGAACTGTAGGCGCAATGAAACAAAATTTAATAAGATTTTGTGTTGGTGTTTGCAGATGATTTGTAATAAATGTTTGCTTTGGAATACACCTAAATTTCACAATATAGGATCTCAAGTAAGAGGAGAAGGAGACAGTTTAGTTAACACAAGAGGTCTTTCCAATATTTAGCAGTTTTATTAACAACCATCACAATGCAATGAAGCACCTACTGGGGTACAATTTCGTTTTAAGTCATTTCTATTAGTATTTTTCATAGTATTTCACACAAGTTAATAGAATAACCGGAACAAAACATTGATTGAAACCTTACAATTTGCATACAACTGTTGGCAATTCGTGTGGGTCAATTATATTAAATGTTTCAACAAAACATGCAACGTGCAATAGGAACTAATCAAAGTCGTGCTCAGCTTATCTTGATTAGACGCAAGAGGTTGACTAACATGGTTACCGAGGGGACAACCGTTTCGCTTCGACAAGCGAACGTTCAATGTTCGCAATCCTTTCGTATCTTCCAGAGAATAGTAAAACTATCAACTACTAAAAATGTATACTATATTTTCTCTGGTGTAGGTAAAATAAAACCGCGATCAGACGATCGGACAATCTCAATCGCCCTAGGGACAAGGTCTAACTTATACCATCCAATCCATCAGAAGTTAGGGACTTAAGCCTCGAATGAATACTTTTTTTATGGTAAAGGTCGGCAAACGAGCAGACGGGTTACCTGATGCTAAGCAATCAGCGCCGCCCATGGACACCCGCATCTCAGTAACGAGTGCGTGCCGGTCGGTCGGATATTTAAGGATTGCCAAGGGATGGGGGTTGGTGGAGGGTAAGCTCACTCACACGGTGAAACACAACGCTGTGGTTGTTTCACACCGAAGCTTGGCTCTCCCACACTTAAACCGGAGTTCATGGGCGTGATTTGTTAGGCATTTAAGAATTGGGGATTTGGGGATAGGGAATGGGGGAAGGAACTGCTATGTCTGAGATCCGTACAGGCATCCTGACAACCGAAAGATTAATTACGATTTACCTGACAGGTAATCGCATTAGAGTTTTGTTTGGGCAGTCGTTTTTACGCGCACTTGACTAACGAAGCAGTGAATATGCAATAAATAAAAATATTTCCCTTTTTTTTCAATGCGGTTTGACTAATTAGCCACATTGTTGTTGTAGTTTTTTTGTGTTCTAATTACTGAAACCTAATTAAATTCTTACATAAATATCGTTTGGTAAATCGTGCGTAACGACGTTAATTGTAGATCAAATGCATAATCTGACATATCTTTATGAAGTGTTAACAATAGATACCAAATAAATTAAGTTATAGACACTCACTTAAAAACTTTATGTATGTAACTCTTTGCACTTATAACAGCACACGGTACGTTAAAACCCAAGTTTGTACAGACAAAATATAAAAAAATTTCTTTGAAAACCTTTGCAGTGGTTGGGAGCCAAAATTTGTAGTGGTGATGGAGTTTTTTGCTCGTTCGAAATTCGAACATTACATACATTATATTGGGTATCGGTATATTCGAACTTCGAATGTACACTTTAGAACAAGCACCTAGCTTCATTGACGAATAGACTGACAGATATATTATATTTTTACGTTTCAAAAATACAATCCTATTTATGGTTTAATTGGAATAAATGATGTTGACATTGAAGTCTTTGACTCTATATCACTGGTTGATTTTCGATAGTCATACTGCTAATGCTCTTAACGTGTTGGAAGATTCAGACGAGGTTGTTTCAAAAAAGGCTTTGAATGAATACATTTTTAGCGTGTAATGTCATTAAAATTCAATAATATTTGTTAACACTAAGTTATATCTTGTTAACATGTGTTAAATACATATACGGATGTTTTGCAATGCAAAAAAATATAAATTAATTGCTCTTGAACAATTATTTAACTATTTGTTCAGGTTTCTTTTTTCCTTATTTATAACGTTTTGTTTTTAGTTGCTATACCTAGATGGTGTCTTTGCATTATGCATTGTATAATGAAATGCAAATACTTGAATAGATACTTGAATTTTATAATCGCTTAAACAATGACAGGGTCGCCGGGTATTCGGATGATCAACTCAGCATCGTGTATTTCGTTTTCGTTGCCTAGCAAAGAATTAGTTAGTATGCAATACGATCCACAAGATTAATAAGAAAGCAAAGTCAATGCACTAGAATTCGTTTTGCTTTGAGAATTATTTTCGCGAAATCACATTTCGTACAGGTACCTACTTTCACGTTCTTGAAAACGCATTATTTCATTTTATTTTTTTTAACTCTATAACCGAATGAATAACATGAATGAATGAGAATGGGCTCACAATATCACTAGTGAAAAGTAAGTGTTGCATTGAAAAATGGAGATATCTACCGATCCTGGTGAATGAGTAGCGTGCGCATATTAATATGACAATGGTTGTTACTACCTAATGCAGTATAGCTACTAGTATCGGCCTTTCATACGCCATTTTGTGCGTGAGTGAACTCTATTTATCGACTTTTCAAGATCAAATCATGATAAAAGCACGGTCATTGTTATTGAACTCAATTTGGAAACTTTTGACAAGCCCATTTATAGATAATTCGATCAATACTGATTTCTATGTCTGTTTAATACAAATAAAATTACAGGTGTCTTTAACTTATGATTATAGTTACTATTTAACTATTTTTAGAAGCCTTTTTGTTTGTCTGGACCTCTAAAATCGATGAACTTAAATCGAACTCACTATGAATTTAGAAAAGTTTTAAAGCTAGGTATTTATTTAGAAGTAAGAGTTTAAGTAGATACTTTAATGCTATTTTCATTGTAAATTCGTTCTTATTAAAAGAAGGCATTCTTTGACAGAAAAGAACTCAAAGGCAGCTTCAAGGAAAGTTCTATACAAACTTTCAAGGATGGTCTTAATCTAGTAATCTTGTAAAATTAATAAAATTATATTGCTTAAGACAAGTTAAACAAAAACTCACGACTTAAAAGGAGGTTAATCTACTTAAAAGTAACCTTCTTGTCGTTATTATTTGTATACGCATATTATGCATAAGCTAAGCCAGTCACGAAAATGATAAGCCTTTGATATTTATCAAAATCAAGCTTAAACAATATGCAGTGAAAGGAGATTTATTTTATTTGTCGTGATGTGATAACAAGTAATAAATTATTACCCACCGGTACTGGTAAGCGGGAATAAAGTGCTACAGTGCCAACCTTAGTATTTATTATGTAGAAACTAGAATCCCGCTCAAGTTCTGTTAGAAAGGGACTGTAAGATTTCACTGCATACTTATCTAATCCTACAGTCTCAGTTACCTTAAGTGGGAAGCATCTGTATAACTTATATTGTAGGATAAAAATTTAACATTTTTTTTAAGTATGGCTATTTTGGAAAGTTGTTATTATTCGATTACATAGGTCGTGGTGGTGGTGACCCAGTGGTTAAGAATCTACTTATAAACATTGAGCAGATATCAAACCAGCAGTCTACCAATACCTTTCTACCGTTTCCTTTAGTACTTCTTTGTCTTTTTGTTATAAAACCGCTCGTATGTCAACACGTTACGGTTGTTTACTACTTAAACGGACTAAAATCTTCAATAAGACATAAAAAAACGTATTATTAAAAAAAATACTTATTGCAACATTCAGGACCCAGCTTAAACTCCTCCTTCTGCACTGGTAGACGTGCGATATAGATCTTCAAACTAAATAAAATTATGATTTTAATATCATAACAATAGGTTCAATTGCCTTATTGATAGAAGATGCGTGGGCCGTTCCCTTTAAGGGCAAACAATTTGAAAGTAGACCACGATGCAACATATTGCATCCGATAAAAGTTCAAGGTGTTAATTGCACCGCAATGTGAACCTATGCGTTCAGTTTTAATGACGGTGTGCATGAAAATAATTACTGTCTCATTACTCACTCATGCACAAAATTCAAGGCAATTAAGTGAAATCTAATGTGAATATTCCATACATACTTAAAATATGTGTTATGGTACTAGTAAATGATATTTTAGACAATAGAACAAAAGGTACCTTGATATTTCTAAATCTCAAAACGTGCATATGATATTAAATATCACGACATATTATATAAATACCTATTGCGATATTATACTAGATCTATTGTCTATTAAATCCTTGAACATATTCAATTAGTGATTGATCTAGTTCATTAATTTAATAATAGACAATACTTGCCTTTATTTTACCTACAACATGATTGATTGCATTTTTTTCTAGCAAGCAAATGATTCGGTGTTAGTATCGGCTAGCGAGGTCGTGTATTATTTGAAAGGGTGTGCCCTGCCCAATTGTCCGTGGTGCAATTGTACGTTCCGATTCGAATACGCACAATTTGTGGGTGACCAGTAACCATGCACTGTATAATTCTAAACTAGTGAATGGCGTTTAACCTCGCGAACGGCCACATTGACTATTAAATTCGCGCGTTTGTTCTTCAACGCTTCACGTAATCTCTTTGCACGCCACTTGGCTCATTTCTGACGGGAAGTGCTTACCGCATTTCTTTACGGCCTTTTAATTACCCATTGCATAGATTAATGGGGTCTGTCAGTGATGGTACCATCAGCTACTTATTTTTTTTTGTGTGCTGACGTATTAACTGGTGGTAATAGGTGGTGGTAGTAAGTGAGACTGTGCTATCACTCCGGTCGAGCTGGCCCATTCGCGACAAAGCATGGCACTCCTAAACTTTTATTGAGAATTTTATTACACACATATACGTATTTCATTATACCATACCCCAGAATGCCTATTATTAGGGAAACGTTCACTTGGTTTTATTTTTTTATTACGAGAGGTACATACTGTTATTCATTTTAGAGGGTTGTCTGAAAATAAGTTGTTTAATTGAAACGAGGTGATCTAACAGAGAACTAAAGTGCCAACATAGCCCAAAGGATTAGCAAACTAAAGTGGCGGTGGGTAGGTCACATTTGTAGAAGAACCGATGACCGTTGGAGTAGATGTCTTATAGAGTGGAGACCACGTCTAGGCAAACGCAGTGTAGGGCGCCCTCCAGCTAGGTGGACTGACGATATCCGCAATGTGGCTGGCAGTGGTAGGATGTGAACAGCTGAACATCAAGCTCAGTAGCGTGCAAATTGAGGCGGCCTATGTATAGTAGTCGAAACCAGGCTGGTGATAATGAAGTTGTTTAAAAACGTGATGCAAATATTTTGTACTTCATGTTCCAGGTACGAAGCGTATACTTCCCCCGTGAGCTGCTGCGTCCCAGCTCGCTGCTCACAAACTTGGTGCTGGACGACACTCGCTCTTCCAACTCCAGGCTCCCAGCATCCTGCGACCATCTCTTCGCTTACATCAGTGACACGGTTGCACCAGGTTCGATACTGTTAATACTGTTTTGATTCAATCATCAATTGAATTAGTTTATATCATATCTTGGGTTGTGAGTATTCTTACCAGGATTTGAAATTGCGCTGCTGACAAAGAAACGCTTTGTTGAAATGGTTGATTACTGGCCATCTATCATGTTACGTATTTTTTGTAGGAAATTTGCAAAATGGTGATATTTTTTCTACATGTGTTATCACATCAGAGAGTAGCAGTCTTTTCTCAATAATTAGATTTTTTCTTATTACTTTTTATACATACGACCTTTATTGGTATGATTTTGCTATAAATGGTTTGTGCGAACCGCTATAATTGTATGATAACATTTTTGCTCGTTCAAACCAAACATTCCTAGTAAATGTTCACACGAGTTTCTCTGTGAAACTAAAATAATTGCTTAGTACGTGATTGTAATAACGTTAAATTGCAATATTACATTGTTAAGATTCTGGGGTTATAATAAGAATTTCTTTACGGAGATAGGGATATTAAAAACTTGGTCATGATGTTAATTTTTGAAATTACGATCCTCAAATTGAATGAATCGAAATGAATAATCCAGATTATGTAAATAATAGAAACTACAAAGTTGTGAAATATTTTTTCTATAATTCATAGTGTTTAACCAAAAACCAACCCAATTATTACGTAATTCTTTAAATATGTATTAATAGAATTAATTGCTCATTTTGCACACACCATTATACATAATTAAAGTATCATTACAGCTCGTGTATTACAATTAGAGTATTTACAGTGATATCTAAACGGACGTGATCAGTTTTGATAAATTATAGGCACTTGAAATAGTTGATTGAGGATTTATAGTCAACAGTAATCATAGGATAATTAGCGGTTGGCTGTAGATATGTGGCACGTTGAATAATTGCAGTCAAAATACACGAGTTTCGGTGTTTAGTGATTATCGAACCGTAACACGTCGAAAATACTGCTTTCTCTGAAAACGTACGTGACGTAACTATTCGAATATAGGAACACAGACGAATTCAAAAAATTCACAAGTTACTCGTGCCTACTGTAATTAAAATGGCCGACAGTGTCATTCCAAGAAATTTTATCATTGCATAATTGTAACTTATTGTTTAAATAATTCGTGAACTGTAACATTCCGGCGGCAAACTGTATAAAGCATTTATTTGCATTTTATTATGCATTGTTTTAATGTACCTAAGTACTTACAGAGAGTTAAATCATCTTGATTAATGATAAAGGAAATCTTTTTATTCTAAAGAAATGGTTATAAAATATACGTACTTAGAAAAAGTGCATGTAGATACATCTTTCTTCGCTTCAAATAATAACGGGAAGAGATTCCTAAAAGTAGAAGAATATTAATGATATGCTCTTTTGTGCATTCGGTTATTTCTGTCCACCCAAAAAGTACAAAAATAGGATGATAATATTAATTATTTATTTATAACACTATTACCTAGGTGCCTTGCAATAATCATGCATTTTAATATGAGGAAAAAATATATAAAAAAACCAAGGATTTTTCGCGACATTCAATATTGCGCGTGGGTCGCCTGCAATCTTGACAACCGGTTTAATGTAAATCGTCCAATTCCACTCAATCATGGTCTTGCAACATGAACAATGACCCTAAGAGTTACCTTTGAGCGTTTTGGGTTAATGAACTTTGAAATATCCATTCATAACATAATCTTGGTTGGAGATAATATGATTAACTAGCTCCTGACAGCGGCTTTACCCGCTTGGTATGTTGATAAAAATTTGCCATGTGTGTATAATCCAGGGTATTACCCATCTACATACCACAACCAAATCGGCCCAGCTGTTTTTGCGTAAAAGAATACATTTTTACAAAATTTATGCATTTATAATATTAGTAGGATATCTATTAGGGATATTAAGTAGTAGGAGTAGGATTCGTATAATTGCATGTATGTATAATTAACATATCTTTTAACAAAACTCGAGGACTATCGGATTGACTGACACTTTTTATTTTTAAATATGATTGTCTGACCATCAAAAGTATGCATATATTGGTAGAATTAAAATTTGTGGCTTTCACATATTTTCAGATTTGTGTATAGGAAAACAGAGAACAGGGTGGAAAATGGATCAACTCCCCTCTTAAGGTTTCGCAGGCTTTTCATCATCTTAAGGCTGATGATGATGATGATGATATTTCAATGTTTACCTAGGTATAGGTTGTACACACATCATAGTTTCCGATACTAATAGTTTTCATCAATATTTTTTTGTATGTCTAATAAAGCAGCGTATTTGTATTCATTGAAATTCGATTTCACGGCACAGTGCACAACGCTGGTTTTTACTTTACCTACACAAAAATTTGCCGAGAAATTACACAATATAGGCACATAATATTTTACATATTGACAGCATAGAAGAATTTCTAAAATCGGAAATCAGGTGATTACGAGTCTGAAAGACTGACGGACGAACATAGTTTTTTATGGGATAGGCCGGCAGACTGTCTGGATCGACTGATAGTAAGTAACCGGTGCCGTTTATAGCCACCAGAGGTAGTTGCAAGTGCATAGCCGATCTGAGCTTGAAGGCTTTAAGGTGTGGCGGATTTAGGAATTGAGAAACGGTGGGAGGTTTATAATGGTGATAAAGGATCTATTTATCAATGACCTTTCTTGAACATAATAGAAAGTATTATAGAAAACGCAATTTGATTACTAAGTACCTAAAGTTTCTTTTGCCCATTCCTAGTAGCTGCAGTATTTATACGGAATCTCTTTTGCTCTACATAAGTCATCCCACACAAAAGACTTCGCAAACGAGTAAACAAATTGTTGCCATTTATATGTCTTATATGTAGGTATCTATGTACATAGATACATATCTACATAGATACGGCTAAAAAGTATAATACGGTACAAATGGGTAGATACGTATAACAAAGCTAGACCTAAGTGTCGTGAGAACTGTTACTATGTACTACTAGCCAAGTACTAGATGGTAGATATACCTAATACCTTTAACCTCCTAAAGCAGTTTCCCACAATTGATATGTATTTATCGTCTTCTCATACGATAAACCTACATACTGGATACTCAATCTTCATTAGCGTTGTCTATGGGAACAATACAAGTGGTGAAATATGGGCGGATGGACAAAGCAATATTGTAATACCGAAGATATTGTGATTACATACTGTGGGTATATTGTGCATACATAATGTTTGGAAATTGCTGAAAGTGTATCTTCTATGTATGTACTATGTTAGGACCGTGCTATAGCATAATGTGATGCGATGGTACTTCGTTTTACAAGCTTATGTTTTTTGGCTGCTTGTGTATTTTCAAAGAAGTCTATTAGTTTATTAGCCTAAAGATGTAGCGACCGGAATGCACCGATAATAGAAGGAAATCTTAAAGATTTTAGGACTCACAATGCAGCTAGCTATATATAGGTTTATCACCTTATATTACCCCTTCGCCTCTAATACAAGTCATAGTTTCGTGTATCATAACATTTTGTTTAATTTTCTTTTTAACGGATTTTCCAGGTATCATCGTTTATGATGGTCGTCGTGACAACGCGTGGAGAGTCACGCACGCCTCCATGTACCCCGACCCTGACCTTGGAGAATACGACATTGGTGGAGAAAGGTTCACCCTTATGGACGGTATCGTGGGTCTCGCTCACTCTCCCGCACAAGGCTTGCTGTACTACCAACCTCTGGCCACTGACAGGTACCTACACCACTACCAAACTATATACGTTTACTAATAATTTATGTATGTACTTGCAGACAAAAATACAAGAAGCCATTCATTTGTGGCGAGATATATGTACCTATAGACTATGTAGATTTTAGTCAAAACCGCATTAAAATCGGATCATCGTTTTGAGAGCTACGATGCCACAGTCAAACTTATAACACCCCTTCATTCCCCTGCCGGGGCTCTCTTCCGATTAAATAAAAAGAGGATTTTTTTAAATCAGAAACTTCATTTTTGCCTTCCAGCTTTGGGAATCAAATTAAAACTTCTCCATCTTTCAAAGTCTCAACTAGTTTCTAATGCTCTATTTCTTTAATATTCCAGATTGTTCAGCGTGTCGACTGCGGTACTAGCATCCGGTCCACCGGCGGAAGGCACAGACTTGCCCGTTAACCTCGTAGGTCGCAAGTCCTCTCAAGGTCTCGGAGTGGCGGTAGACCCAAGGGATGACACTATCATCTTCAGTCCCATGACTGAAACTGCTATTGCTGCCTGGAACCCCATCACCAACACTCACAAGTAAGATATTGTGCTAGTAGTAAAATGGATTTTAGTAAGACATTGATCTCTTCAAAGCCCACTAGACGATATAACAGCACGGGTAGTGCGGTGGCTGGGCAAATGGCTGCCGTGCAACGTGTCGGATCTGGGTGTCATGTGTATGTGAAATTGTAGGTTTGTAAACGCACCCACAAAGACACGCACAAAGAAAAGAAAAAAGAAAGAAGGAACTTATTAGTAATAGTTAAAAAATAAGTACTAAATAGGTATTTGGTCTGAGTATTTTGACTATGGTCTTAAAACTTGTGTCAGTATTTTCCGAATGAGCATTTCCTTTGATAATAAATTACTATCTACTACTGTAATTTCCAAGTTCTATATTCTCCAATTCAGTTTAAATAAAGTCAGTCACGATTATAAGAATGTAGGTAAGTATCTATTTAATTAATGAGTCATCGATAAAAAAACAATTGAATGAGGGTTATGTTTAGTTTCCCTTTTCATAATGAATCAGTTTTTATTAAAACGTGGGAATTTCCGATAGACTGCAGTACGTATTGTAGCCTTACTTGCAATTAATCATATACCTATGTAAGTAGGTTGTACTTGTTGCAAGAAGGGTAATATGAAAGGTCGTTGAAACTTTTGTAATGAGGATGTAGGTAACGGGAAGTTTTTAATGAAATGAGAAATGTGAACTGCTAGAAGGCATTAGAAAAATAAAAAAAAATTGTTAGAGGCGCTATGAAAAGGATGATCTGAAAATGTTAGATGAGCAATTACTATTCTCAAGATGTCTGCCGATATATCAGCCGGGGTTGCGGGTCAAGAGTAATAATGTACCAAGACCCCGTCCTGGAGCAGGAGTACGAAAGGGGTGGTTTATAATAAAATTCTGAGACTCCTTCAAAAATCGGCCAATTGTGTGGATTATGACAAACTTCTTTTTAGTACCTATTCTGTAGTAGACGTCAATGACGGTAATATGGACTTATATAATATAGTGCCCCTACCCATGATGTGTTCGTATATATTACAATTATTATTGTAATAGTCCTATGCAAGATCAAAACAATAGATTTATGATATAATGATATCTATGCTTTTTTCGTATGTATTCTTTATATTATATTTTTTTCTCACAGGGTGCTAGCTCAAGACCCAGAAAAGCTGCAGTTCTGCGCCGAGGTGAGATGGGCCGAACGCGACAATGGCGCCATCTGGGCACTTTCAACACGATTCCACAAGTTCTTCCGACGCTCCGCTTCTAAACATGAGGTCTGATATTACGATAATTGCTCACTACAATCTTTGAAAGCTTATGAAATATTCTAGAGGATAAAATGTCTGCAGTGATTCTTGGAAGCACCTTTTTTTTATGTGGTACTAGCTACTCTCGCGCGGTTTCACCCGCTGCTCAGCTCCATTAGATCGTAGCGTGATGTTTTATAGCCTATAACACACAGTTCCAAAGATTATCCCCTACATACAAACTTACAAATTTTATCTCTTTATAATATTAGTATAGATGACGGCAAACTGATTACCTGATGGTAAGCAATCAGCGCCGCCCATGGACATCCTCAACAATATAGGAGTTACAATTGCGTTGCCGACCTTTTGGGGATTAAGGATTTGGAGATTTAGGAGTTTGGGGAGGGATTAGGTGAAAAAGGATTAAGCCTCCGGTAACCTCACTCACAAGGCGAAACACTACGCTGTCGTTGTTTCACGCCCGTTTTCTGGGAGGCCTTGGTATCACTCACACACTTTTAAATTTTGTACTTCTAAGGCCTTCATCAATTTTTATTCTTATTTTCAGACGAACATTCGTATCTTACGCGTGGTAGACAGTGGATTCGTCTCGTTGCAGCCGCATGTACTCCGTCGTGCTGTGCAGTACAACGCTACCTCCACTTCACATTCTCCGCACTAAAGCGTCACCACCTGCACAAACAAGTGCACAGTATACTAAGCACGGACTAAAGTCGTGCAAGCCAACGTCTGATGACGTTCACTGCCAAAGTCAATACAGATTCCGTGACCAGCTATTTTATTTAAATATTTATAACTACAGCGGTTTGTGATGATACTCTAGTATGTACAAAAGTGATCGGAAGTAAACAATTTTTTTTACAGTTTTCTCAGTTTGGTCGTTCATTTTTTTGTTGTTAAACGTCTGCTGTGATTAAAATATTTCAGTATCATTGCAAACTAAGCTGCCATGTACAACGTAAGCAACCGAAATTGGAGAAGTTGTATCAAAACCTCCTTTGTGATAAAATATATTCTGGCATTATTTTAGTTACCACCTTGTGCATTAGACATTTAATTCGAAAAAAAGAATTGGAAGAATGATGTTTATGGTAAAGGAAAAAGGTTTTTTGATGCAGGCTTTATATCTCAGTTGCTTAAAAAACCAAGTGTTGTAAGCGTTCAAAAAAATGTACGTATGGCACACGTTTGGAGAGGTCATTGACCAATAAGTTTGGAACGCTCAAATTATCAGACATATTTTAATTCAAGTATTATTGTTACTTCTTCTTTAAAGCACTAAAAAATCTTAGCCGAATCACTAACACAACTTCGAAAATACTTATTGATATAATCTTTTGTATATTAATAAATAAATAAATATATAAGTTTCGTTGTTATGTGCAAATAAACTGCTTTGTACTAACGTTAGCCTAAATTACCGGAATACGAACACGCTACCTCTACCACGAATCCAACAAAGTAACGTAACGTGTTTTTGTCATGTGAATGAATTATGGTACAATTAATAAAGTAAGTGCTTTCGATTCTACACATTAATCATTATGTTTGGAACCATCAGTACGTTACTATGTGGGACGGTCGAGTTCGGAACCTGTAGGGTCCAAACTACTTACCATCGAGAGACATCCGTAATGTTTCGTGCTAGAGGCATATTATGCTGATCGAAATTCGTCAATAAATCGGTGTATTTTCACCAAATCTTATTCCTTTCATACAAATTTAAGAAGAGGTTAGATTAATACTTTTCATTTATTTGTAACTTATTTTATATTTTTATACACAGCGGGTAATTTGAGGATATGTGTGAATGTACTAAGTGAGGTTCTACACAGAATGTGCTTCGAATGTATTTTGTTTTTTATACCTTTTGTATTAGAGCTTATTTTTCTACCTTCAATAAATTATGCTAAAGTTACCTGCCAAGTTATTAAAGATTTTTTTACTAGAATGTAGCAGAATAAGTTTAGCTTTTTTGTATCCAATGTATATTGCTTTTTATGTCTAATCTTAGAAGTAGAGAACACAGAAATAATTTATAGACAAATGAACACAAACAGTTTAGTATAAGGACACTAGTTATCTTTTATTAAAAAAAAATACCCTTGTCTATGATTCACAGCAATAAAAACAGATCACTAAATTATTGTATTGTTAAGATATAAGATCTAAGGATTATAAATTCCATTCCATTAGGTAGTAAATCGCGTAAATACTTCAAGATATCTTAAAAAAAATATCTCTTATTCTGAAATAATCAACAAGGCTTTCTCTTGTGCCATACTATTATGGTATTCCAAGATATTTGATGTAAATTTGTATATAAAAAAATATTTTATATTAATTTAATAAAAATTAATCGGCAATATCATTTAAATTCATTTGAAATTAGAACACAAGAAATATTTGACAGAGTAGTGCGACATAGTGTGATAAATAGGTACATTTATATTGTTTACATTTTTGTGGTTTTTGTTATAAATGTTATGTTATGTAGCTTATCAGCCACGGCCGTTCGAAAATAACTAAATAATTTTTCTTCTAGCTCATATCCGCTTAAATAATTTCTTAATTTAGAAACTTCGTAAAACCTGACAAAAATATGACAAAATGTTGTCAACAAAGAAAATAAACATCCTACCTAATTGTAACCTTAGTTTATTATTAGTTTTTTTTATAATTGTTTGGTGGAACCTTATCTTTTAAACCTCTGAAGTATTAGTTAACACGACTCATAGTACGAAAATTATAGTTTTCTTAATGAATTTTCTTATCGAACTGGGCCAAAGCATTATTTTGATGCTTCTTGGAATATGTTTAAATGTATGACGCGTTATTGTTCAGTCTCACGGTATTTCCCGTTTTACTTGTACCATTCCTAATATTTGATCTTAACGTCAAAAATTATCTTAGAATTTTTATGTTTAACTAGCGTACATACTTATATGTATTTGTACATCTGAGTCACTTATTTTTGTATTTTGATTGTTATTTTCAAGTTGACTTATAGAAAGCTGATTGTTTTGGGAAGTTCGTCCATTCTATGAATCGAGAATGAATGCATCAAATTAAATATGAATTATGACGGCAGCGTGTTTACAATATATATGTACTTTTAAAAAAACTGTTAGTTTTATAACATTGGTTACCATAAGGTAGCAAAGTTTAGAATTTGTACAAGAGGTATACATATGTCTACATAACATAATTAAAAGACCAGAAACTAATAGTAATAAATACCAATAAACTTAAATTAAATCATTTAAAACCTTGTTAACACAGTGAAACAGCATAACTTGTCACACATAATGTTTAAGTTTGCTACATTTTCTGCCGTACTCAGAGACATTAAATGAAACAATTCTTTAGACGATTTTGTTCCAAAATCAATTTCTAAGGACTGGGTTAAGTGTCCATTTAATGATTGTGAGTACGACTGTTAGTGTCACTGGTATTTTTTTTAATATCATTAAGCCATAAGCCAAACATGAACTGTTGACAGTTATGAAGATGTTGCTACAATTTAGTATGTTTTTTATCGATAAGTAACTAATTCACCAGCTAGTAACTAGTACCTAGTGCAATATTTCTACAAGGGCATAAAATAACTCGATATTCGCTCGACACTTTTGTAAATTCATTTATTTCTATGTCTATGCTTATTTATAATTGTAATTATTCTACCGATACTTACGTCTATTTGTACCTACGCTACTTTTATACTTTTAAAATAAAAACGAAATATTTAATATAAATTGCGTTTCATTATCCAAAGCCTTATTTCTTTCTGAAAATAATTCTAAATGACAAATCTATGTATACTAATATTACAAAGCTGAAAAGTTTGTTTGTTTGTTTGAACGCGCAAATCTCTGGAACTGGTTGAATGTTGGTTTGAATTGAACAATTCTTTATGTGTTTGTTAGTACACTTAACGAGAAGGGCTATAGACTATAAAAATCACATCTAAAGGAGCTGAGCAGCGGGTGAGACCGCGTGAGAGTAGCTAGTTACCTTATTTGGACAGTAATCGTTAGAAACGACGAAAAAAGAGAATCCATGATCCATGTAGGTCCGATTATAAAGCGTGCCTTCAGTTAGGACGTTTGCACTTAATACATATATCAGCATTTTACTACATTTGTAGCGTTGCGGTAAACGGACAGTGTAACACAGAATCACAGAACAGAGAAAACACACATAGAACCCGTAACAGCAATTTGTTCCATGTAGGAATTAAACCAACGATACTTTGTTAACTATCAGCGAAAACTATGCAGGCGGATTTTATAAACGGGTCTTTAAAAATAACAGTCTTATTTGGAGTCAACAGAAAATAAGTAGGTATATGGACAATCGTCAAAATTGAATTAGATAACATTCAAATGAAATGTCAAAGATGTTTCGTCGTGATGAGAGGTTTCTGTTTTAAAACTATTATCTACCAGTGTTAAAATGGTAATTTTTGGCAAGTAAAATTCTAATTCTAGACTAATAGGCTATTAGTGTTTATTATTCAGCTAGATAATGGTTTGCAGAAGACATAACAATTAGTCTGGAATGCATACAAGAATTTACAAAAATAATAGGTATACATTTTCGAGAGTCATTTTTATCTTGAAAAACAAGCATCCTAATACCTTAAAGTCTGCTAAATAATTGTAATAATTAAAAGCGATATCATTAGGTACAGGGTAGGTATCGAGAGACATATGTACTTACTTGTGACGTTTTGAAGTACTTTTGACGTTACGATTGTACTCAAACGTTTGTAAGTTTGTATGTAGGGGTAATCTTTGGAACCACTGGTCGCGCTATCGCGATATCACGCTACGATCAAATGGAGCCGAACAGCGGGTGAAACCGCGCGAGAGTCGCTAGTTTGTTATATTTAGACACTTTAGAGCTGAGCAGTCCCAAGTCACGGCGCCCATCTACGAACATGACACGTACGCCAGCATTTCAACCATAGTGTGGCAATGATGAAGCGGTCCCCCATTCCTGAACTATTCGTTTCAAGTTTCTAATTATAATGATTTTTACTACTTATACATATCCATCACTAACCCAATTACGTGATTTGTACTATGTTTGTTAACATACCCATATAATGTTATTTTATCATTAGTATCCGCTTTGTTAGGGGAATTTTCAGGCCCATCGATGATTCACATAGAATATATAATAGGTACATATGTATGTTATTTACACAATTACTTCTTATCTGCATCTACATTTATTGTTGTGTTACAAATCATAAACTGTACGGGTTGCAGGCAGTAATTATCTTAGAAAAAAATATGGATATCGTGAGTCGTGTCTATGCCTTAAGAAGAATATCTTAACACATACAGGTTTGTAGAGATGGTATTTATATTTATCCTGCAAACAAAACGGTCTAAAGACGTCATCAATAGGAAACTATACATATAGATCTTATACACACAAAAATGTTAGCAAAAAGTTTGGATTTTCCGTCTATCTAGCTAATAATAAGTTTTTTTTTTCTGTTATAAGACATACGGATTATCTGATGGTACGCAATCAGCGGCGCTCAGCGACACCCGCAACCACGGAAGAGTTACGAGTGCGTTATCGACCGTTTCGGCGTTAGGGTTTTGGGGGAGGGGAAGGATTTAGCCGGTAACCTCACTTACACGGTGAAACACAACGCTGTGATCGGTTTTCTATCTCGGGGCACCGTAAGCGCGGGTCGGCGAGTAAGGGCAGCTCGCCGCCCGACCAGAATCAGGCCCGAGCGTACGGCGCGTAGCGTACCGCGCGCGCCTCAAGGAGCCAATAGAACACCACAGACGGGGCCCTATAAGGCTGATG